TTCTGGGAAGGAGGGGCTAGAAGTGTTTGTTCCTAGTTGGTCTCCCTACTTGAGTGCTTCTTCCTTTCCAACCCATGCTCTTCATACAGCTGTGTGGTCTTTAAAAAATTGAAACCAAATCATCTCCATGTTTGCACAAGATCTCCAAAATCTTCCCAAAACGCTTAGAATAAACTCTGGAGTCCTTCCATAAGCTGACAAGACTCTGCTTGCTTGTCTGTCGCCATCCGGGGCCATTCTTGCTGGCCCCCTTGCACCAGTGGTCAGAACCCCCGCAGTACTCGCACGGCCCGCGGCTCTGCGCTTTCCCTCCTGTGTTTGCGTCCCTTCCTGGAGACTTTATTTAATGCAGGGATATCTTCCAATGACCGGAATAATAATTCTTAGTTCTCCAATAGTAAAGATTATTATTTCCTTTAATACTTTTTTTTTAGAAAAAAAATGTCATCTTATTAAAATTCAAATATAATTAGCATACAGTGCTGTATTAATTTCAGGGGAAAGATACAGTGATTCACACGTGCCTGTGACACCTGTTGTGAGGAGCCCTTTTTCCTCTTAGTGGGGACTCCTCTCTGTCGTTCAGATGCCAGCTCACAGTACTGTGGTCGCAGACAGGTCCTTCTGAGCCACCGAACAGTGGCAGCACATCAGCCTGCTTTATTTTATGTTATTTATTTTTTTGGATTTTATTTATTTATTTGACACAGAGAGAGAGATCACAAGTAGACAGAGAGAGAGAGGGGAAAGCAGACTCCCCGCTGAGCAGAGAGCCCGATGCGTGGCTCGATCCCAGGACCCTGAGATCATGACCTGAGCAGAAGGCAGAGGCTTAACCCTCTGAGCCATGCAGGCGCCCCCATCAGGCTGCTTTAATTCCCTCTGTAGGACCCAACACTGCTGATCTTTCTGGCTCGTCTCTGTGTTTATCATCTGCTGCTCTAACCCGGGGCGTTTCAGTAAAACAGGGCAGTTTCCAGAGAGGCTTTGCAGTGTCTATCTTTCCTCACTCCCATGGTCTTTAAAAATGTCCTCTTTGTACCACATCACACATGACCTTCCCTACTGCCTTCGTAGTCCGACCTTCTACCAGCCCTGTGGAGTACTTCCGTTGCGGCACTGTCTCACCGCCAGGTTCAGTGACATTTGAGGTTTAATGGCATTAACTAAAGACCTCATGACACCCACATATTCAAGTACGTGAAAACTTAATATACTTCTAAAGTCAGATTCTGTCTGTTTTTAAGCAGAAGTTACATGTACTGGTACGCGGCTGGATGACTTTGTGTTGGCTCAGATGGTTTTATTAATACAGTTTTCATATAAAATTGGGTTTCTACTGTATGAATAAGTTTTTAAAATTCAAATTGCTAGAGAATGACAAGCACTTACCTCTTTTTAATCAAATTGTCAAGATTTGATTTCAAATATAATTTCTCAAGCATCATTCATATGGAAAGAGTTTTAATAAGTTTTGGCAATCCTTTTTATAATCTGTAAACTTACAAACAGTAACTTAAAAAGCTATGTGAGTAATTTGGATGCACTTGGGACTTTTCTAAGGAGCTGCTCTGAGCAGGGACTGTGCTGCATGTGTGAGGTTCCTGAGGGCAGCCCCAGAGAGGCTCCCTACCCTCAGGTCAATGTGAGCCAGGCGGGTTCCCCGCTGTGGAGATCCTTCCTGGACGCGTGCCTGTGCCCCATCCCAGGCACCTGGCCTCCGTGGCTCCATCATGCTCACAAAGTCTGTGTCTGAGAGCAAAGGGGAAGGACAGGAGGACATGCATATGCATTTTCTGTTGCCTCCGTAACAAATCGTCCCAAATCAACAGCTCCCAACGGTATCCACGTACTGTCTCATGGTCCTGGGGGTCAGAGGCCTACTGGGCTGGCCTGCTTTCTCTGCTCCGAGCACACACGGTGGAACCCTAGCATTGGCCCTGCGCTCTCTGGGAGGAGGATGCTCTGGGAAGGAGGCATCTCCCAGCTCGTTCAGGCTCCTCTCAGAGTCAGCTACATGCCTTGTGGGGTTGAGGTCCTCCTTCCCTGCCTGATCTGGAGCCTTCCTCGGCATGCGGAGGCCGCTAGGGTTCTGGGGTCTGTGGCCCCTGTCCTCCCTGGTCACAGGCAGCAAGGGCAGAGGGGCTCCTCCTCAGGCTTCCCACCCCTCTGCTCTTCCCTCTGCCACATCTGTCCTGCTTCTCCTGCTGCATCTCTCCAACTTGAGCTGGAGAAACTTCCTGTTTTTAAGGATCCACGTGATTGAAGTGGCCTCCGAGGACGATGGAGGTGAGCGCTGTTGTGAGGTCCGTAACCGTCACCGTACCTGCGGAGTGCCTTCACTGCAGTGCCTGCTTAGGGCCCCGAAGCACATCAGGTTCTGCCTACCACGGAGCATTCGACTTGTTCAATTCTGGGCTTGAGTATTAGTCTAGGTTTTAAAGAGCTTCTGCCCGTTTAATTGGTTGATGTGCCTTGGGTTAGACAGTGGTTGTCTCTTTCCTTTCTTTCCCTTGACATTGGTCGTATGATTTTTAGAGTTGTCCTCACTCGCTGAAATAGGAAGTGTAATTTTGTACACGGGAAGCTTGTCAGTCTCTCTGCTGGGAGGATGTGAGGAGTGAGGAAGAAGGGATCTTTGTACTCACCACCTAGAATAGTTTGATGTTAATTTGCTACTTTGTTTATTCGCTTAGGTACCTAAAAAGTGCCGGATTTTGGTATTCTTTCTTTTTTATACTGGGAATTATTTCTTCTTTAACGATTTTGGTATTTTATCTGAGTAAAATAAAATGCAATAAAGGTTTATGTTTTTTCCTTGACTCACTTTTTTTCCTTTGAAAAGAAATGATAATATTTTAAAGATGCATGGTCAAAATTTAAGATCCCAGTGATTTTTCAGTAGTGATAATTTACGGTGCAGTGAACATCTGTGGCTCTTCAGTTTGACTAGTTTTGGAAGATTCACCCTAACAGTGCTAGCGATATAGTGAGTCAAAAGGACTTAATGAAACCAGTGATTATATGTCTAGGTCAGGTCAGTTAAAAATGCAGTGGGGTTATTTTATTGGGAGTTTTGTGGGCAGAATGGCTGATATGGGATTCCAAGTAACATGAACATTACTTCTATTATAAATGGTATATTTTTTCACGGGTTTTTTTTCTCTAATTCAAAGTGTTCCAGTACTTTGAAATATTATATAAAATGAGTTAATGAACATCTGTTTATCTTCTGTGGAATTGTAACTTTAGAAGGAATATTTAAATTTATGCTAGAGGATGCCTCTAGAATGGTGAGCAGAACAGACATGATTCCTGTCCTTGTGGAGTTTGTAGTCTGTATTTGTTAATGTAAGAAATGATGTGGTAATCTGTAGTTTAAGTTTTTAAAGACACTTTTATATTGGCATGTAATTTCCCAAAGAAAACACCTGTTATAGTCAGGAGTTATTTTATAGGAACCTACAAATACACAGACGTTTATCACATGATATCTCTCAGGGGAGCTCTGGGAGAAGATGGAGAAGACAGACAGGGAGCCGCGGGTGCCCCGTGTCCTCACGTACTCGTGGCTGGCGCTAGCGGGCATGCCTTGCTGTGCCTTCCCAGCAGAGGTTGTGCCGGTACGGACTCCTGTCATCTGTGGAGCAGTCTGCTTTCCAGTCAGCCACTGCTTACCTCGTCCTGAGCATGGTTTCAGCCCTACCATGTGGCGTCCAGAAACCACTCAGACCCCTCAGGCTGTTTCCCCCGAGTTTTCACGGGCACCAGCAGCTGCAGCGAGAGTTTTTGTACATGCTTCTGCATTCACATCCCGGATTATTTCTTAAATTATTATAGTCTCAGTGACTGAGTCAAAGGCCAGATACATTTTTAAGATTTGATACATATTATAGTACCAGACAGTTCATTTAATTGGCCAAGAATGTTTATTGAATTTATGAATGAATGAGTCAGTGGGTGAACAGAAGCATAGCTAATTCTGTTGCTGCAAGTAGTTAAGAACTCTTTTCGATTAGGTCTTAAAACAGGATGATTGTTAGCAACATCAACTTAGTTAAAAATGAAATTCATATGGCATGCCCCTAGGAGCGGCGGGTGAACTTCGAGAGGCAGTTGGTGCAAACTCAGTGGGGGTTAGGAGCGTCTGCCCGTGACAGTTCTTAGTTACCCTGAGGACTTGGCGTGGTGAAGAGAGGAAAGCCCCGAGGCAGGAGTGCAGTCCGCCTCCTCAGTCAGTCGTCCAGAAGGGTCTTCTTCAGCCTATCTGGAGGGCATTGGATTTGTATTTTAAAGTGCTGGCTGCAGAAACCCTTAAGAATGTCTTTCTCAAAAACAACAACAACAGCAACAAAAACAGAAAAGAATGTCTTTCTCCAGTGATTTTAGAATCTCTGGGGTTCACTGTTGTCTCATCATGTGTACTTGTGAGGATAGAGGGACACCTTTCTTGCCCATGGAGTCGTTCTGTTATGTTCTGCTAATCTGTGTTTCAACTCTTGTGTCATACTCCTCTTTTTAGGTCAGCTCAAACAAGTCTCTTTTGATTAGTAATCGAAGTGGGTCTTCTTTAGCTGGGCTTTTACTAAATACTTTAATCTTAGAAACATTTAAATTTTAGCAGAAGTGGACGAAAAGCAGTATCACTGGGCGGCTGGGTTCAGTCTTCTCTTGCAGGCAGAAAGTCGCACAGTAAGAGCACAGCACAGATGTGTGTTCTTCGGGTGCTGGGCATGGCTGTCCGGACGCCCACCTGCCGGTGTTAGTGATTCACAGAGATGACAAGTGGAGATGGGTTAGAGATGTGCTTGGCCCTTATGTGAACGTTCATTGAGATGGTAGTTATCACTAGTGAGTGAGTGATCTTACAGTTGGGAAACTCTAGTATGTCTGGGATTGTCACTCACCTATGTTTTCTGCTACAGCCTTAATTAGCTGGACTAGAGTTTGTCGGAATCATGTCACTTTGTCGTTTCGTGTCTTTCACATCTGTCTTCCAGGGCTGAAGGAGCTGTCCCCACTCCCCCTCAATCTCAAACGGCTCTACAGAGAGACACTGGAAATCGAACCGATCTTGATAATTATCTCCCCGGGTGCCGATCCGTCTCAGGAGCTCCAGGAGCTCGCCAGCGCCGAGAGGAGCGGAGAGTGCTATCACCAGGTCAGCGCCCGGCCCCTGTGCTGCTGGAGCCCCAGCTCCTCCCATCCGCCCGAGCCTGATAGGAAAACACGGGTTTGATGGTGGTAGGCCAAGCAGTGTCCCCCAAAGTGCCCAGGTCCTACTCCCCAGAGCCTGTGAAGCCATTCGCTTCCGTGGGAGAAGGAGCTCTGCACGTGTAGTTCCCTAAGTGTCTTCACGTGCACACGTCGTCTTGCCGCAGTCAGGTGGGCCCGGGGCGATCATGGGGTCCTTACATCGCGGAGGCTGCGGAGGCCACAGGGAGACGCTGGTGTGTTCATGGCGCTGTGGCCGGAGCGCTGGGAAACGCTGGGGTGCTGACTTGGAAGGTGCCGGAAGGGGCTGCAAACGACTTCTAGAGGCTGGAAAAGCAAGAGGGAGATTCTGTCCTCGAGCCTCCAGAAGACCCAGCCGTGTGGTAAAGCCAGACTCCTTGGTGTTAGATGGGGTTGTCATCTCCAGAAACCTGGTAATGAATTTGTCTGGTTTTAAGGTGCTAAATTGGGTAGTTTGTTAGAGCAGTAACAGGAGGCTAATATATTTGCTAAGCTTTTGAGAATAATTTTTAAATTTTACTTGGAAGCTTTTATAATAAATCACAGCAATATTTACCAGCAAAGGCTGAACTACATAAACTTGTGAGTGAAACTGAGGTCATGTCAAGCACCATTCTCTCTGAGGTAAATTTAGGACCTCTACCCTGTTCCGATGGCCTCCTTTGTGCCACTCCGCTTGCGTGCCGGCCAGAGCAGGTATTAACTTACTGTCAGTTTTTGACAACGGAATAAATAAACCACTTTCAGTGGGACCGTTGTGATGATGAAGCAGCAAATGGAAAAGTCGCAGTGTTGCGTGGAGCCTGGGCAGGAGGCCGTAGTGGAGCAGGGAGCTGAGCCCGCTGTTGGGGCGGCTCTCGTGAGGGGTCTGCTTCCGCCCTGGCTGGGGTGTCCTGACGCCCCTGGGGGACAGCACGCGGCCATCAGGGAGGAGCCTGCGGGAGGGGCCTGCTCTGCACCCCCATTCTGTTGGCACAGATTCCAGCCGCAGGCAAAGCTGTTTGGGTCCACGGGTAGGTTTGACAGCTGAAACCTGTCAGGTTTGGTGCACTGAGCTTGCAAAGTTGTTAAATTCAGTAAAGCCTTTCAGCACAGACATGATCACTCTTCATTCCGTTCAAGTCTTATTGCTGTGCTGTTATATGTGCTGTAGCTAATACATTCTTGATGCAAAAATTAATGTTTTTAAAAGATTTATTTATTTGACACAGAGAGAGAGAGAGAGAGAGTACAAGCAGGGGAAGGGGCAAAGGGAGAGGGAGAAGCAGGCTCCATGCTGAGCAGGGAGCCCGATGCAAGGCTTGATCCCAGGATCCCAGGATCATGACCTGAGCTGAAGGTACACGTTTAACCAACTGAACCAGCCAGCTGTCCCCCAGAATAGTAATTTTTAATTGCAGAAGTTGTGAGATTTCAGAGGGGATGTGCGGCTCACCATCTTCTTGACATTTTCCTGTTGTACTTTTTAAAAAATTTTTATTTTTATAGTAACTATTTTTTTCGGAGGTTTTATGAATCTTTAAGCTTTTTTTCATATAATTGATGCTTTATGGGAAATGCTGAGTTGTGTGTTTTTAGCTGTCATTTCCATTGAGCAAAACGCTTACCCTTTTCTCTGATTCTGTTGTACATGCCTGTACTTCCATTTTTTGTTTTTTGGGGATTTTTTTTGTGGGGTTTATTTTGCATTCTAATAATGGCAAACTAGGAAGTGCATCAAAACAATTTAAGCACTTTGTTTCACCTCCTATTTGCTTCATTCGGGGTTAGACCTTGAAATTTAAAAAAAGTCAATATGTGACCATTTCTTACCTGTGTTATTGCATGCTTTAGTATGCAGTGGGTTAGGCATGGTTCCCACTCTCAAGAGCATTATAGTCGGATTGAAAAACAAAATCAATACTTGTAAACGTCAGCTGAAAAGCAATGAAATGCTGTGTTGTATTCATTATGGGACAGAAATCACTGTGGTTCGCAGTGATCTGTAACCCTCGTCTTGAAAGTGTTTTACCCACGTATCCAGTAAGAGGCTGGAGCCAGGACTCTCCCTGTGTGTGTTGGTAAGTTCCTGCACACGCGCACCCGCCTGTCCTGGTAGGCGGCTCTGCCGGAAACTGCCCTAAACATGCCGGGGGTCTTGACTGCACATGGTCTGTGGGGTGCAGCCCCCCGGGGCTGCTGGCTGACCCCTGCGGGTTCTGGCCATGCAGCTTGCGCACTGTCCGTGCTCTCAGGCCCTCCTGCTCGGAATGCGCCCGCAGCTGGTCTGCTTTATGAGGCGGACCGGGCCCTGCCTGAGAGTCCTCAGCCCAGGTGGTCGCTAGCGCCAGGGAACACGCACTGGGATTCCAGTGGGCTCGGGATGCCCGTGCCCTCTCTGTCTTTATTCTGTCCTTGCTGCACCCCACCCCAAGCAGCCCTAGAGGAGCAGTGGGCAGAGTGAGGATTTACTGGATGATGGACGGCTAGGGAATGACACCATCACAGCGTTACACCTGCGGCAGAGAGCCAGGCGTGCGCGGTGTTGGGAAAATCAGAAGTAAATTTCAAGAAGTGGTAGTGATTAAACCTTAATATTAACAGTTAAACATTAATGATTAAACCCTCAAAGGATTCAAGACGACAGTTAAATAAAATTTCCTTTTTTTATGGTTCATGTTTGAGAGGGTGAGGATTGCAGGAAACGGGGGAGTGTGAAACACGGCTATTCTGGAATTCTTTATACTGTTCTGAAACTTGCAAACCTAAATGATAATATATTTTTAATAAACATGACAGTATTAGGAATCTGCTATTGTTGAAGGACAAAAACAAGACAATTGTTGGAAATGGCAACAGTGTTACTAAAAACTTAGACCGCTCCTGAAAATAATTGAGTTCAGTACGTATGCCAGGTTAATTTGAATCTCTTCTGCGACATATTATCACATCTGTAGTTAGTGCTGGTTTTCATTTTGTTTTTGCAGGTTGCTATGGGTCAAGGTCAAGCTGATTTAGCCATTCAGATGCTGAAAGAATGTGCCCGAAATGGGGACTGGCTGTGTTTGAAGAACTTACATCTTGTGGTGTCTTGGCTGCCAGTTCTAGAAAAGGTAGATTGAGATAAATGTGGTATAAATAGAATATGATGGTAACTGTTATGTGGCATAATAGTATATATTATAATTTATAGTTCTATGCATATACAAAGTTTTTACCAAAGCTAGTTTTTTTCTTTTTTTTTTTGGTTACTTTCATTCTGCATTTTACATTATAATAATGTTAATATCAGACATAGATTATATTTATTAAAGTAATTTTTAGACCTCATTCCTTTAGAACTCTTGACCATTCTTCCGTCATTCATTTATTCCTTTATTCTGCAAGCACTAGTTTAGTACAGAAAAAAGCCAGCACTTGCCCTAAGTGCGCATTGCATACAAAATGTGTACCCGTTCTGTCAGAAGGAACTTGGTTTAGAAGAGACAGGGCACACTCAGAGCTCAGTTGTGGCCTCAGAAACACTGTGGGAGAGAATCGGCAGACTGCTGGCCGCGACGAGTCCTGCCAGGGACTGTGGTGGTGAAGAGTCCGAGAAAACGTCCCTCTGAGACGGTATGTTTAAATTGACAGATGGAAGAATTTGTCAGATTCCAAAGAGAGTACAGGTAGAAAGAGTAGTATTTGTAAAGACACGCATGAAAATGGGGATGAGTGACCAAGGCACACAGCATGGGCAGAGGAAGTTGTGTGGTGAAGTTTCGAATTTGCATTGTAGGCAATAGGATACAGCAAAAATTGGTAATGAAGGAAGTGATGTCATTAGAGAACCCAGCGGAGGCATGAACGGATGCAGTGAAACCCCGAGCCCCGCACACGGGTGCTGGCTGAGGCCTCCGTGGCTGCTAATGCTTACTTTGTACACATTGTGCATCGGCACCATGACGGGCGTCGTACGCGGTGCGGACTGTTACCGTCCTTGCTTAGAGCTGGTGTTGGTCCTAGACCCCAGGTCACGGAGCAAATAAGCAACAGAGTGAAATGTATCGGCATGTCACAGAAGGATCTGAGAAGGAAATTTTACTTAATAATATATTTATAAAGTGGAAATTAGTATGTGTAAGTAGATTTTTCTTGTTGCTGTTTTTGTACACAAGGAATTGAACACTCTTCAGCCTAAAGATACCTTTCGCCTGTGGCTCACGGCGGAGGTCCACCCCCACTTCACCCCCATCTTACTGCAGTCAAGTCTGAAGATCACCTACGAGGTAAGGAGACAGGAACCCCGAGTCACTTGGTGTGAGGTGGTCTCCTCGCACCTCCTGAAGCTCCTGTCACGAACTGCCGTCGTACGGAACACACCAGAGTTTCCTTCCCAGCGGTCAGTTCAGGTAGTAAGTGGGTGGAGACATTTCTCCAGACACGCGCTCGGTGGGTGCTCAGTGTCACTTGTCGTCAGGGAGATGCAGAGGAGAGCCACGATGGGTCAGCACGCTTGTCCAATTTTCAGTGTCGTTTTCCTTTTTTCAGCCCATTGTGCTTCGGACACATAATGTCCAAGCCTGGTGTATCCAAGACTGTATGTTTGCAGTGTTAGCCCGTAACCGGTCAGAGTCATAAATAAAATAATTAACTGAATTAAAACTTTTAAAACTGGCAATAGAGATTCCGCTTGTTTTTTTTTTTTCCCCTCACTTTGTAGAAATTTCTTTCTCCCCGGAAAGGACGAACCTTCTATGCAAGTGAAAACTACATGCCCCATAGCCGTCAGTGTCAGGTTCATCGTGTAAATGACAATTTGGTTTCAGTAAATTACCTCAGTAATCATATAAAACTTATTTAGTTGTTTTGAATATTGTTGGTTTTAGAGTTTTTGAATTTGAAAATGTTTGAATTTATAATTGGTAGGAACTGTTAAGTACAAGGAGTTTAAAACTAGTTTTAGATATGTACATTTTGAAGTAGCATAATAGTAAGTCAAACTGGGTAGTAGTGAAAACTTTGCTTTATTAAAATGTCTCTAAATGTGTTAAATATTAGCTTCGTCTGTAAGATTTGAAACAATAGGATGTCAATTTTTTGTCGTTAGTCACCTCCAGGTTTGAAGAAGAACTTAATGCGTACTTACGAGTCTTGGACTCCTGAGCAAATCAACAAAAAAGATAACATACCTCGAGCTCACGCTCTCTTTAGTTTTGCATGGTTTCATGCTGCATGTCAAGAAAGAAGAAATTATATCCCGCAGGTGAGTTAGAATGTCTGGCACATGTTGTAAGCTGTGCGTGTTGTGTAGTAGGGTTTCTGCGACTTAGTGTAAATGGCTGGGATTACTTCGTAATTTGGCTCATGAGTCCTAACTGTTGCTCTTGAATTCTGTCTGTGCCGTTCGCCTTGTGGACCATGTACAGTTACGTAGTTCACGTCCTCGAATGACGTTGTTCAGAACAAGGTGTGACCCGTCATAAGCCCTCAGTGATGGTTAGGTGTCATTTCTGTGGTCACAGTCATCTCTGAGGTCAGACCTGAATTCTGCGTAGTTTTCCTGTGGTGTACCACCCTCAGTGGAAGCCACGGATAGCCGTGTCCTCAGACTGGCCTCCTGGGGACCGTTCCCGCCATCTTTCTTTCTCAGCGGCCCGGCTGGTTCATTCTCCCGGCCAAGTACGCTTGAGATCTGGACGTTTCTCTCCACTGTTTTTCCCAGGCCTCTTCACCCCTTACTTGTTCTCTTGTGCAAGGTCACCTTCCTCCTGTGTTTGCTCTGTCCACGGGGCAGCCAGACTTGTTTTCCTAACGTGTAAGTGGGATGATTTCGGCACTCAGCCTCCGGCCCTATCAGATGGCTTTGTTGTCCGCGTGCGGAACCGTGCACGTTTCCTGCTCTGGTCCCGAAGGAAAGCCCTGCCTTCGTCCCCAGCCTCCTCCCAGAGCCCCGTCCCCGCTCGTTCTGCAGGATTCCTCCTGGTCTTTGAGTTCACGCTGCTTGGTGTTGCCAGAGGTTGTGGTTGTGACCACATCTGCCCCTTGCCGCACAGTCTGAACTGGGCCACGTTCCGTTCTTGCCGGATGTCAAGGCCGCATGTTGCATCATGTCAGATTCAATTTCTCCCATCTGGTTTTAGCATCGCCTGCATCTGTCTCCTCCTGAACCGCACCCCCCCCCCCCCGCCCCTGATTGAGCCTCTCTCTCTCTGTGTCACTTTCATGTCAGAGCGAGAGTGTCGTGGGGAGTTGCAGACCTGGGCTCGAGGCCTGACTCCAGATTTCCTGGTCGCGTGAGCTCAGCTGCATGGTGGGGACGCTCCTCACGTGCGCCTCTATCGCGGGTGATAGAGAAACTAGTGAAAGTTTAGAAGCGCCTTCATGTCGCCTGTTGGTAAAGATTGTCAGAATGCTGAGGTAGTGACTAAAAACAGCAGCGTGTTGTTGCACAGAATTTGCAAGCTACACTCAAAAGGAAAGGTGCGCCCACTGTCCTCCTTTGACCAAGGAGCCCAGTGAGTCGTGATGGCAGTTACTTGCTGACGGAGTCGCACCTCAGACGGTCTGGAGCTTGTCGGGGGCCTGGCCCACCTTCCTTCAAAGCCCATGCCCCTAGGAGTAATCCTGACAGGAACCACAGTGACCGTCATGGCCCGTCATTGAAGAAAGAGATATTTTTTAAATGAAATTAGATTTTTTTTAAATGAAGCAATACACGTGTATAACATAAATTAAAAAGTTATGAGATGATCTGTTGAGTGCCTGGGTGGCTCAGTGGGTTAAGCCTCTGCCTCCGGCTCAGGTCATGATCTCAGGGTCCTGGGATTGAGCCCCATATCAGGCTCTCTGCTCAGAGGGAGCCTGCTTCCCTCTCTCTCTCTCTGCCTGTCTCTCTGCCTGTTTGTGATCTCTGTCTGTCAAATAAATAAACAAATCTTAAAAAAAAAAGTTATGAGAAGATTTGCAACTAAATTTTAGTCCCCCTCCCCCCCATCTGCCCATCCTGTCTCCTGTCTCCTCCTTCCATCCCCAGGGCAGCTGCTGCTCCCCAGTCCTTGGGGTCCTTCAGGAGGAGTGTGTAAGTCAACAGCATGTGTCGTGTGTCTGCAGACCCGCATGTGTTCTTTTTAACTCTAGTAGCGCCACTTTACGAACACAGTTCTGTATTTTGCTTTATTAACCAACACATTTCAGAGATTTCTAAATCTTAGTAACCATTTAGATACTGGTTGTGCCCACAGTATTGAACCCTTACTGGGGAGCGTTCTATGTTGTGGGCTGCATAGATACATTCTCCTTCCGTCTCTGCTATAGTGAGATCCGTGCACCTGCCTCAGTCAGGTTTCTTCACTTGGCAATTCCTGCCTTGGAATGTTGGGGTCAAAAAATACGTATAATTTAAGGAATTTGTAAATGCTATCAAAATATTCTTTTTAGAGCAGCTTACTTTTACACACATAAAATATTTAGAAGTGTCACTTTTTTTTGAACATGTTAAGTTGCTGTCTTGTAAATGATGAAATTAGAGGAAAACCCAGTCAAAACCTGAACTCGCATTAATTGCTAGAGGCACTGTCCCAGGGATATGCACTCCACAGACTCTCTTTCCCTTCTTTCCCTCATCTAATCACCAACTTCTAGAAATGAAGATCACCCAGTTCTGCTACCAGGTCAACTTAGTTTTCGTTCCTCACATTAGCAGAAGATGTTTTGCTCTTTTTCACCGGGGTGCTGTATATGCAGAATTAACCTCCTGTTTCCCACACACATACCATACTGCATCTGATGTTTTTATTTGATGTTTGTCCTTCTTGGTCGTCTTGTCATTCGTCCTAGACTGTGAGCACCTTGATGACAGGCTTCATCCCGTTCGTCTTTGCAGAACCCTTCCCACGGCGCCTGGGTTTCCAAGTGGGCTGAGCAGGATTCCATGGGCTATCTAGAGAGCCCCTCCACTTGGGGTGGGATTCACCACTCGGCTTAGAAACTATGACACAAGTAGCAAATACCACCTTTTGAATTTTTTGTTCCATGTGTTTGAAATCCTTCCTCACATACCTGTACGTCAGTAACAGTGTGACTCAGAGACCAGTTCTTACCATTTTAGAATTGGAATCTCATTTGGAAATTGCTGTTAGGCGATACTGAGAGCTGCAGTCTTCTAACTGGAGAGGTTTAGAATACTAATCTTTAAAGTATTGAAAAAAATTTTTTTCAAGATTTTATTTATTTATTTGAGAGAGAGAGTGAGAGTGTACAAGCACAAGCAGGGGAGCAGCAGACGAAGGGGAGAAGCAGGCTCCCTCCTGAGCAGAGAGCCCGATGCGGGGCTCGATCCCAGGACCCTGAGATGATGACCTGAGCCGAAGGCAGAGGCTTCGCAGCTGAGCCCCCTGGGCCCCCTAAAGTACTGAAAACATTTTAAATCAACATTCACAAATAAGGTCTAGTAGAGTGATATAAGAAATATTATTAATAAGGCTTTATTTCGAGTTGGTAGGAAATTTAGTTAAAATATTACAGGAAATTTTTTAACTGTGATGGGCACATTACAGATCTCACAGATCTTCAGTTCTTAGTTGTACTGAAACTTAACAAGCAAGGTTTAAACCTCTTGTGTTTTTTACAAGATCTATAAATCTAAACAAATGGATCCAAGTGTTGGTGACACGCACATTCATAGATCTAGCTCAGATCGGTTCCCTAAGGTCTAGGCTTGTGTGTGCAGCGATTTCTGTGACTTACCAGTTTGTTTCGAAAAGGACTGAAAACCCACGTACTCTGGACCCAAGTACTAGAGTGTAAGCTTCTCGGGAGCACAGATTTGGTCTCCTTTGTCCATTGCTGTATTTGCACGGACTGGACAGGTTTGGAGCTCATGGAACGCTTCCAAGCCTTGCCTTCTTACAGCGGCTCTCAGCAGCCAGTGACGCCACTGGAAGGCCTCCTAACACTCTCTTCGTGGTGTCTTCATCTGCCATGACCACACAGTACACGCATTCTTCAATTTCGTTGTCCTAACTACCCACGCACGTGTTTCTTCCTGTCTGTTCTACTCCCCTCCCCAGCAAGGAGGCCCTGCCTTACCCCTTGGCTAGAGTCAGACTCCTTCTCGTGTGTATCAAGTCTCTTTCCTTCCAGCAGAGCATCGTAGCTTGTCCTGCAGGTGTGTGCCAGTGCTGGACTGTATCTGCCCGCTTCCCCCTTCCCCACGTTTGACTGACAGTGACCCCGGGGGCCGGGATTATTGATGTTTGGGTTCATTCACTTAGAGATTTAAAACAGAGCTTTACTTATAATATGCATTTAATAAACATTGTTTTAAGTGATTAATGGATGAATGAAATTTGTGTTGGTGATCCTAAATACTCTTAAAGTCTAAAAAGATTTTAGTTTCCAACATAGTACATTGAACTAATTAAAGTTAATGGAAGTGCCATCAAAAGTTTTACTTTTATATTTTTATAAAACATAGTGCTCTATTAATGTTCTTTTTATACAAGCATTGTAGTTATTAACTTCAATTTATAATTCCAACATGAATGCTTCAGGGGTGAAACGTATAGGGAATAATGCTGTATGCCTTTGGGCCTTTAAAAATTTTTTTGTAATATTTCTGTTGTCGTGTGTACTTGACATGTGTACATCATACTTAAGCTCAGAAATTTACCAATTTGTTGTATGACTGAATTGCCACAATACTAAACGATAAAAACTGGTAGTATTAAAAGTCGTTGGCATGCTATTGAGGTCAATCAATTACTTTTAAAAAATTACTGTTACCTTAGAATTGCTGTTTTTATTATAAATTTTCAAGGGTGGCCCTTTTACTTTTTTAGCGTATTTTGAACATCCTTAAAATTATAAGGTCATGATGCATATATATATTTGTGAACACTATGGTTCTTTAATATTTGTACATTTATTTTGTAGGGTTGGACCAAGTTTTATGAGTTTTCTTTATCAGATCTTCGGGCTGGCTACAGCATTATTGACAGGCTCTTTGATGGTAAGTTCTGATAGTTGTCATCTCTGGTATTAATGGGAACATTTTTTTTTTGAGGTCCTACTAATTAATAAAGTGTTCTCTTCAAGAGGGACTTCCTATCATAAAATGTGCTGTTTGCTTTTCATGTGTTTCGTGTCCTGACTGCCATGCTTGTGTTGGTAGATAGTGCTTGGACAACTGTGGTCATTGGTTTTATGTGCCATGGTTTTCTGATTGATCTGTAGCTCTCAGGAAACAGAAAGTGAGAAAGATCTTGTCTTCGCTCTGTGCCTTTCCTAAGTTTCAGACTCCTGAGGAATAATTCACATCTTGGGAACTGTTAAAATGCAAGAGTGTGGTAGACTACGGTCCATACTGTGAATCTGTAGTCTTAACTTATGATTAAGTTGGAGTCAGGAATCAGGGTACAAATAATAGATCGAAGTAGGGCAACAGACAAGACTGTGATCTGATGGGCAGATTCCATCCTGCTCTCCACCTCCTCCAGCCAGGAGCAGTGGAGTCTCTGACCTGTGCTGTGTAGGTGAGGGCAAAGGGATGCGAGAGTTGAGAGCAGTGATGGATGGGAGGAGAGCGTGTTGATTGGAATCTCAAACTGGAAGGTGATTCCTGTCTCCCTGTCCACCTGCAGCCCTGCCAGACCTCCCTTCCCAGAGGCAGCCCCGCGTCGGTAAACGGCACCACCGTTCATATATCTGTTCAGGTTCAGGACCTGTGAATCACCTGGGATTCTTTCTCTGATCTTAAACATCACGTGTTTGGGCATCTTATGTCCCTTCCAAGTCCAAAGCAGATCACGATTCTGTTCATTTATTGTGACTTCATCAGCGCCTTGAGGGTCCAAGCAAGAGCTTCATACCCAGTCTTCTTTCTGGTTTAGCACCCTTTGAAAACTCTCCACATGGTAAAGAAACTGAGAGAAGTAAAATGTAGGATTCCCATTTAAAACCTACAGCAACACTAGTCTTTCCTTTCCTCTAGCGAGCCAGGTCCGTTCCTACCTGAAGGTTTTGGTCGGTGCTCTTCTGTCAGAAATGCTTTTCTCCCAGTGTCTGTCCTCCTCTGACCATTCACATCTACTTTCCAGGTGTCCTCTTCAGATGAGCTTTCTGCTACTACCAGTCTAAAGTAATTTAAACATTATTCTCTACCCCCTTGTTCTGTTGTTCTGGAGTACGTCAGTGCTATGTAGTAGTCTTTTGGTTGCTTATTCATTTGTTCTGTTATCCCTTCCCACTAGAGCGTAATCTGTCTCAAAGCAACGTCTTTGACTGTTGACGACGTATGTCCTAACCCCCGTAGCAGGACCTCGCCTATAGTAGGCGCACCTAGTTATCATTGGCTGGATTAATATCCGCTCTCAGAAATGACTTTGTAACTTGTCTTTGGCAGAATGATAGGTTTAGACATCTAGGATGTGTCCAAGTCCCACTCTACTTTATATGTTTATGGGATTAAAGTTTTGAATGATCTGTGTATGAAAAATGCTACGTTCATACAATCACAGCTCAGTGAAACCGCCACACAACATGCTCCCGTAGCCGGTGTTCTAATCCGGAAACAACGTCGCCAGTACCACTGCCTTCCAGTTAGGACTGTCTCCCCGCGCTCCCCCCCCGCCACCCCAAGCTTCTGTGATGCACACCAACATCTTACCATATAGACCAGTTCCGCCTGTTTTTGTAAAGCTGGAATCCTGCATCATACAACCCTTACTCTTCAGGCTCTTTGATTTAACGTTCTGTTTGAGAGACTCATCTACGTGGTTCCATGTGGCGAGGGATGGCTTATTCTCAGTGCTATGTAGTATGCCACTCTGCAGATACCTCCTGGGGTGTCAGCTGGGTCTTTGGGGTGATTCTGAATAGTGCTACCACAGCTGTGGGTGATTAGTTGATGTACGTATATTGGGTATATCCATATGAGTAGGTAGGTTATTCATATCTTCACCTTTTGTTTATTGTTAGTGAAATCAGTGAATGCCAAATAATATTCGAAGTGAGTTTTTCTTTACTTAACAAACTTTGAACTCTACATCAGAAAGCTACATAAACTTACAGCTTAATAAATGGTCATATATGGAACCATTGTAACTGTCTCCAAGTATTACCAGCCTTCCAGAAGTGCGTCCTTTACTCCTTCATGCATGTGACCCAACACTGCCCCACTCCATGCCAAGGGTAACCACTTTTCTGGTTCTATAAGCTGTTTTTTTTTATTTTTTTATTTTTATTTATTTGACACAGAGAGAGAGAGAGAGATCACAAGTCAGCAGAGAGGTAGGCAAAGAGAGAGGCAGAAGCAGGCTCCCCGCTGAGCAGAGAGCCCAATGTGGGGCTCGAACCCACTACCCTGGGATCATGACCTGAGCTGAAGGCAGAGGCTTTAACCCACTGAGCCACTCAGGCACCCCAGTTGTTGTTTTTAATATTAACTTTGACAGGGGCGCCTGGGTGGCTCAGTGGGTTAAGCCACTGCCTTCGGCTCAGGTCATGATCTCAGAGTCCTGGGATCGAGCCCCGCATCGGGCTCTCTGCTCTCTAGGGGAGCCTGCTTCCTCCTCTCTCTCTGCCTGCCTCTCTGCCTGCTTGTGATCTGTCAAATAAATAAATAAAATTAAAAAAAAAAAAAATTTGACAGAGTTTTCTGGAGAATCTGTACTAATGCTTTAGCTTTCATTGAAACTTGGTGATTTTTCTTTCTTTTTTTTTTTTTTTGTATTTTCATGTTTCTATTTAAATTCAAGTTAGTTAACCTACAGTGTAGTATTGGTTTCTGGAGTAGAATTCAGTGATTCATCACTAATAAATGACACCCAGTGCTCATCACAACAAGTGTCCCCCCTTAACGCCCCTCCCCCCATGAAGCCCCATCTCCCATGCACCTACCTCCATCCACCCGCTTTGTTCTCTTTTGTTGAAACTCTCTTACGGATTGCTTTCTTTTCTCTCTCTTTTTTTCCCTTTCCATTTTCCCTTCCCTTATGTCCATCTGTTTTGGTTTTTTTTATTCCACATCTGAGTGAAGTCATTTGTATTTGTCTTTCTCTGACTTATTTCACTTAGCATCATACCCTCTGGGGAAATGGCAGGATTTCATTCTTTTTGATGGCTGAGTAGTATTCCATTGTCTATGCCCCTTTAAGGTGAAGCATCCAAAGCAGGGAGCTGGCACGATGTGTCCTTGTGATTGAAGCTTGTGATGGAATTAACTGCATCACAGATCTTACATGCACCACGCCGCAGACTTGATGTGAATAAGAGGCCCGTGCTTTATAGTGATAGTGAATCTCATGGTGAAAATCTGTGTAAACTCAGGACTACAGAATTTCTTGACATTGGGGATTTCCACATGTACAGAATTAAATATGCAAAAAAAGAGAAAAAGTTCTAATTATAGGGGTGAGTTGGCATAGAAATTGCATAGTCCCTAACACCTGGAGTACATGTATACCCTTGATGCCCGAGCTTCCTGAACTGTAAATTGGGAATAATAGCAGATGCTGTATCCATCGGTTCGATTCCGGGAAGTTTGAATGAGACGAGCCACGGGAAACATTTAACATTTAGTACACTGAGTATATGGAGTGAGCTAGCGGTAACTATTGTTACTGCTGCTGCTCTCATTCAGTTCTGTTTGCTTTAATCCTAAACAGAATGAAACTTACTCTGCGATTATAAAATATTTTACATAATAGCTGTTTTTATTCTATAAGTCGAAAGGTTACGGCAGTGTTTATGCCCTGGCGACCTACCTGGGAATGAATGAGCTATCCAGGACCGGTACGTGACTTAGTGGAGATCAAGGCAGAGCTGGGGCATGGGGTCCTGGTGAAGTCCGTTGTCATGGTTGCTTGGCCACGGTTGATAAGGTGATGGCGGCAGGAGGCTGCAGCTGTCCCTGGTCTGCAGGGGCCACCCGCATCACCCAGGGCCAGCACACGCGGTCACAGCGCCCTCAGGCTTAGCGCGCATCTCTGGATTTGGCAGTAACCTGCAGTGGAACTCGCCGAGCCAGCCGTGTTCAACAGCCAGCTTAAGTACAGCCGTTTCCTGCATTTGCGCAGACCTGACAGTTAATTCTTACAGTTTACAATTACCACTGAACTGTCATGAAGAGGAGGCTCTTTTTGCAAAATGAAATAGCAACTTCAAAGTCTCATTGTGTTTTATACTACATTTCTCTTTTAGAATAGAGACTGCATAGTTGACTGTTAAAGTCATGACACTATGAGACTATAATGTGCCAAGTTATTTTGTAGCGTTTCCTTATTCAGATTGTTGTGATGAGCTGAGGTTTTCATCATAATGTAAAATTAGGCTTTGAATATATTCTAAGGAATTTCCCATTTAAGGAGGCAGTGTTGTGTGACAGATGTATGGTTTCAGAGCACGTCATTCCGGTTCAGATCTGTGGGATTGTGTGATTTTCTGATTGGGGTCACTCACCCTCCCTGTTCCTCAATTTCTTCATTAATATAACTGCGCAATTTTAATACTTCTATGTTAGAAGGTTTAAGTGAGTTTATACATGGGAAAATGTTTGGGGAATTTTACTTGATTAAATAATCTCAATAAATATTAGCCATTGTGCGATTATATTAATGTTAATTATTATTAATGAGAATATTAATGAGTTTTACATTCCTATTAGTGAGCCTTTTAAGGAATGATTTAACTTAGTTAAATGTATGTTGTTATATCCTAGAAATATAACTGGAGCCAAGAATTTAGTTAGTATTGTAGAATAATTTAGAATATTCTTAGGCCATTTCTAATATCCTAGAAATAAAGCTAATAAAAGTATGTTTTAAAATTATAGGTACCAAAGATGTGCAGTGGGAATTTCTACATGGTTTACTTGAAAATGCTATTTATGGTGGACGCATAGATAATTATTTTGACCTTAGAGTTCTTCAGTCATACCTGAAACAGTTTTTTAATTCTTCAATAACTGATGTTTTAAACCAAAGGAATAAGAAAAGTGTTTTTCCGTATTCCTTATCTCTACCAAAATCCTGCAGCATTCTGGTAGGTAAAACTCATCATTTTTAATATATTACCAGATACTTGAATCCTTTCTTAAACTGTTAAATACATGTTTCTTTTTTCAAATGCACAAGTAATTCTCATTCTCAAATACAGATGATTGCTATGGCAGTACATGGCCTGGCCATGTAAACTCTGGTGAAGTGTGTTGTCCACGCTGGGGTACTTAGGGACGGCTTGATGGTAATAAGGTAGAGTTGCCAGTTAGGAAGATGTTTAAGAGGTAAGACTGGGAGGATCTGGAAGGAGAGAGCCTGTGTGTTCTAGTGGGCCTGAGAGGGCTCGGGGATCAGATCCCTAAATCAGATGCCTAACACCTGTATCTTCACTTTCTGGCTTATGAGTTAAATCAGGTCCGACTGTGTGAGGGACGGCTTTGAGCTGGCTTTGACCTTGGTGTTTCTGTGGACGTGTCTATATCTTAGCTGGCTGGAGCTTTTCTCCCTGAGTCATCCTACAAAAGTCTTGTAGAATGAAGTCATCTTTTCCAGAAAATAGTGCTAATTATGGCCCAAAGATTTCAATTCTGATGTATTTTGCCACAAACTTATCTTTGCTTAATGTCCAAATAATGCTTTTCTTACCTGGAATGTTATGATCACACGCATACATATTCAGTTCCATAGTTCTTCTCACAGGATCGGGGATTTTTCTCTCATCCCAAGTATTTTTTGAGAAAGTTCTTCTGTTTCAGTGACATAATTGTCAAAAGTCAAAGTTTGAAAACTAGTGTTGTGTATGTTACTGAATATCTGCCTGTTAAGTATCCCGTCTGGTTTTGTTTTTTAGTATCTTTCATTCATTCACTCATTTATTGAGTAAGAGCCCGGCCTATCTGTCCGCCCCGGGTGGCCCTGTTCCAGACTGCACAGGCGCCGTGGGCGTCTCTGGGGCTGACTTGCCAGCGGGAGGGCATCCCGGGGCTTTTCATGGCCCAGCTACCTCACACCGTGCACTCACAGGCCTCCCTCTCTCTGTGAACTTTAAACTGAGTAATAAAACTGCTACAGAAATGTGTAGTGAATGTTTATACACTGAACACAGGAGTGGAACTAGTGCTGGGGTCCAGAAACAGTGTGACCAGCTCCCCGGAAGTCCTCCTTGTGTTCCCTCTAGTTGTTGCCCCCCCCACAAAGGAGGCATCATCCGGGCTTCTAACAGCCTATGTTAGCTTTTTTTTAAAAGATGGATTTATTTGAGAAAGAGACAGTGTGTATGAGTCGGGGGAGAGCACAGGAAGAGAGAGAATCTCAAGCAGATTCCCCACTGAGCAGGGAGCCTGATGTGGGGCTCGATCCCAGGACCCTGAGATCATGGCCTGAGCTGAAGGCAGGGGTGCTTAACCCACAGAGCCACCTGGGTGCCCCATCCTACATTAATTTTGCCTATTTTTGAGCACCATGTAAATGGTATCCCTTGGTGTATATTTTTCTGCATCCAAGGGAGGACAGCTTGGTGTGGATGTGTAGCTGTCATTTAGGAAACACGTCTGTGCACAGTTGGGGCGTCGGGGGGAGACTCTAGCCAGCATGCATGAGAAAAGTTCACAGCCATTCTGGAATGAGTGAAGGATATCAACAGAGAATGAGTTTTATATCTGTAGGATGATTTGTGAGAATCATTGTTAAGTTTCCGTCTAAGAGTTCTAGAGAAGGAGGAGGCCAGCATTTCCCGGGAGGGTGAGAACACCTGCTTGTCCCCTGCCCCACGTATGCACACGCGTGTGTAAGCATGCGCCCACAAGCTCATATACACACATACTGATGCATACGTAGATATGTTGCGATGGAACACCCTGAAGAAGTAACAAGTGTTGAGTTACAGGTGGGAAAATTTCAAAAGACAGCACATCTTTCCAAAATCTGACATGTTTACAGGCCCTGGGCTTCCTGAAGTCCCGCCACTGCGTTGGGAGGACTTCACGGGCAGCTGCTGGGGCTGAGAAAGGTGATGGGAGGGGGAGGAGACAGCAATTTCTCCTAGTTCAGCTGCAACAGTGTAGGCACGTATGCAGGACCCCTCTGCATGCCAGCAACCAAACGGAACAATTCTTACCCTTGAGCCAAAGTGAATAAATCCTCCAGGTCTACACGAGTCTCCCGTCTAGAGTTTGGAGTCAGTAACTGCAGACGCCTGCTTGGTAAGGACCGCGTGCAACACTTGCAGTAATTGTGGGAGGAAATGATGGGCTTGTCAGTGCATTTCAGCGCACCTCACCAGCGGACTGAGGACTCGCGGGGAAATTGCTTCATGTAACGTGATTGGCAGAGCAGTGCGCGCTCAGCAGAACATGTGTGTGTGGGTCCCTGGGGTTTCTGTAAGTCTCAGAGGATAGCTGGAATCTTCTTCTTGGAATAAGCAGAACTGCACTCTGCAGATGAGTCTCGGGTAGGTTCGGGCTTTCCTATAAACGTCTCACATGATGTCTTCATGTAGGAGCCATGGCCATTTAAGTATTTTTGTTTTAATCAGTGCAGGGTCCCTTTGAATGTGGTGAGTTAAATTATGTGATGCTGTATTTGTAAATTTAGGGATGAAGAAGTCATGACCAAGAGTATCTTCTGTCCACAGCTAAGTATTACATAGACTGAAAGTTAGATTTATCTAGAAAATGTGAACATACGAGTAACGAGTGATTTAATATTTCCCAGTATCTGTTCTTTCTGATTTCAGTGGTTCTATGTTCAATCTTTATAGAAAAACTCTTTTTCACTTCTCCACATTCAGGACTATCGTGCCGTCATTGAAAAGCTTCCGGAGGACGACAAACCGAGTTTCTTTGGTCTCCCTGCGAACATAGCTCGTTCGTCTCAGCGTATGATCAGCTCTCAGGTAACCAAGGAGAGGAGCTGCTGTGCAGAAAACATGGAGTCTGATTTGATACATCAGACCCCACAAGCTGTTACTTAACATTTTCCTTTTATTTAGCACAGTAAATTCCAGCTCTGCCTTAAATAAATTTTAGAAGAGCCAAAGAGTTCTATATTAATACAACTGTTCAAATTAGTAAAATAACATTGAGCACTATCACTTCCTCCAAAATATATTTATTTTTCCTTCCTGTGATTATATTAAGGCAACACTTTTAAAAGTTTTTTATTTTAATCCCAGTGTTTGTAACGTGCAGCGTCGTGTTAGTTTCAGGCGTGTGAGGCACTGATTCCGCAGCTCTGCACGCCATCCGTTGCTCACCAGGACAGGGGCACGCCTTCATCCCCATCCCGTGGCTCCCCCATCCCCCCCCGCCCACCTCCCCGCCGGTGACCAGCAGTGTGTTCTCTGGAGTCGAGAATCTGTTTCTTGGTTTGCGTCTCCTTTTCTTCCCGCCTCGGCTCATGTTTGTTTGGTTTCTTAAATTCCACACCTGAGTAAAATAACACGGTATTGGACTGTGTCTGATTTAGTTCACTCGGCATCATACTCCCCAGCGCCGTCCCGTCGTGGCACATGGCAAGACTTCATTCTTTTTTGTGTGTGTGTGACTGAGTAATATCCCATTGTGTATCAATGCCCCACATCTTCTTATCCGTTCATCAGTCCATGGACACTTGGGCTGTTGCCATAATTTGGCCGCTGTAGATAATGCTGCTGTAAACGTGTGTGTGTCCCTTCTTCTTCTTTGGCTAAGTACCCCTTAGTGTGACTGCTTGATCACATGGTAGCTCTCTTTTTAATTTTTTGAGGACTCTCCATACCGTTTTCCAGGGTGGCTGCACCAGCTTACGTTCCCAACAACCTTCCTTCATACTCTCGCCAGCACCCGTTGCTTCCTGACCTGCTGATTTTAGCCATTCTGACTGGTGAGGTGGCATCTCACTGTGGTTCTGATCTGTATTTCCCTGATGCCAGTGATGTGGAGCCATCTGGATGTCCTCTTTGGAGAAATGTCTATTCATATCTTCTGCTCATTATTTAATTGGTTTCTTTATTTTTGGGGTGTTGAATTGTATAAGTTCTTTATAGGTTTTGGATACTAACACTTTACTGGTTATGTTACTTGCAAATATCTTCTCCCATTCTGTAGGCTGCCTTTCAGGTTTGATTTTTTCCTTTGCTGTGCAGAAACTTTTTATCCTGATGAAGTTCCAATAGTTTATTTTTGCTTTTAATTCCTTTGATTCTGGAGACCTATCTAGAAGGATGTTGCTATGGCCAACGTCAAAGAGATTACTGCCTGTGTTTTCTTGTAGGATTTTGATGGGTTCCTGTCTCACATTGAGGTCTTTCGTCCATTTTGAGTCTATTTTTGTGTGTGGTGTAAGGCAATGGTCCAGTTTCATTGTTCTGCACGTGGCTGTCCAATTATCCCAATACTGTTTGTTGAAGATGCTGTCTTATTCCCATTGGACATTCTTTCCTGCTTTGTTGAAGATAAGTTGGCCATAGTCGTGGTTTGTTTCTGGGCTCTGTGTCCCATTGCACTGACCTGCATGTGAGTTTGTGCCGGCCCCGGTGTCTCTAGGGTGTCTCCTGTGTGTGTTGCACGCACCCTCCTTTTGTGGCTACGATGCTTTCACCTTGAGTCCTGTTGTCTGCGGTGACTGTGCCTGGCCAGTCTGGGCTTGTGTTGAGTCAAATCTAGAATTCGCCAGGGATGCAATAGTCCCGAAGCACAGGGCACTTTCCCTGTGTTGTCCCCTGAGAAACTGTCGCGGGTGGGCAGTGTCTGCAGGTAGACCAGCTGCCTATGCCCAGCCCGCTGCTGGGGCTGCTGTCTGACTGGCATGTGTGGTTCTCTTTCCCTCTCCTCGGGGCAGGAGACCCTGTGGAGGGGTTCCAGCCTGTGTCAGTGCTCCTGGCGCAGTGCCAGCCCATGGCCCATCTTCGTGAGGGCCTCAGCCAGGGGCCTAGTACAGGACGTGCTGCTAAGGAATCTGCAGCCACCGAGGACCCAGGCCTGTGGGGTCGGAGGGGATGCACCTGCCAGAGCACACGGGTGGGCCAGGCTGTGTCAGCAAGGGCTGCAAGGGTGTCCTGTGAGGGGAGCTCTGGAGGCCAGGCCTGTGCACAGAGGCTGTCTACGGGAGGATGTGGGTTTGGGCTGTACGGTCAGCACGCCAGGTGGTGAGCTGTGGGGCTGTGCTCATGCCGGCCGGCAGCCCCTGTGTGGGCCAGACAGCGGGGGAGGGGAGTGGTGCCCAGGGTGCTGGTTCCAGGCTGTGTCTCCTCAAGCTGCCGATGGGGCTGTCTCTTCAAGAGTGGGGCCTCCGTGTCCCACTGCCCTCTGTGTCATGCAGATCTGAGCGCTCCAGTTTTGGAGTTGCAGGTGTCGAACTCCACTGACGGTAAGAATTTGCAAAGTTAAGCCCCTCTGGTTTTCAGAGCCAGCTTTTAAAGGAATTCATCTTCCCTTCATGGGTCCCCTGTATCTGGGGTGCCTGGTGTGGGGTCTGCTCCTCGCCCTTCTCCACGCCCCCACGGACTGTACCCGGGTCCTCCCAGCTCCCTACGGTGACTCTGCCCTTCCTGCCCTCTGCAGTGTGGCCTCTTGTCTGCGTGTAGCTGTGGCTTCGGGTTGTTTTCTGGGTCACTTAACGGGGATGGGGGTGTTACCTAGTTGTATCTGTGGAACGAGATGAGCTGGGGCTCCTGTCCCACCATCTTCTCCAGAAGCTCTTCCTTGTTTACTCTCGAGTCTGCCAACAGTTTGCCGTTTGATCTTTGCAAAAAATCAGATCCTAATTTTATCAATCTTTTCTATTATTTTTTTAAAATCTGTATTTTTTTTTAAATTTTTGCTCTATATTCTTTCTTTCTTCTACTAATTTAGGGCTTTGTTTGTTGTTCTTTGTCCAGTTCCTTTAGGTGGAATGTTAGATTTTTCCTGTTGCTTGAGGTTGGCCCGAATCTCTATAAATTTCCCTTCTCGAACTGCTTTTGCTGCTTCCCCCCAAATTTGAACCATTGTGTTTCCATTTTCATTTGTCTCAAGGTATTTTATTTTCTCTTGTCTTTCTTCATTGACGCATTGGTTGGTTAGTAGCGTGGTTAGCCTTTGTGTGTTCGGGTTTGTTTGTTTGTTTTCCGTTTTCTTACCCGTAATTGATTGTTAGCTTCCTTTTGTTGCCTTTGGAAGAGGTGCTGGATGTTATTTCGGTTGTCTTCAACTTACGGAAACGTCTTGTGTGTTTGAACGTGTGATCTGTCCTGGAGAATAAATCATGGTCACTTGAAAGGAATCTGTGTTCTCCATTTTGGAATGGAGTATTCTCTTTGTATCTGCTCGGTCTCTTGAAAGCTGGTGTCTCCGTACTGACTTTCTGTTTGGCTGATCTATCCATTAATGTAAGTGGGGCGTTAAAGTCCTCTCCTCTACTATTACTGAATAAATATGATCCTTTATGTCTATCAGTATTTGGCTTATATATTTAGGTATTCCTATGTTGGGTACATAAATATTTACAGTTATTATATTCTTGTTGGATTGATCCCTTTATCCTTATTTAATACCCTTCTTCGTCTCTTCTGTACAGCCTGTTTTAAAGTATATATTGTCTGATCTAAGTGTTAGTACTGACTTGTGGTTTTCTCTTCTATTTTCATGGATTATCTGTTTCAGTTCCTTCCACTCTCTATGTGTCTTGAGGTCTTTTAAAGTCAGCATATACGTGGGTCTTGATTATACTTTTTCTGATCCAGACGTTCCATCTTTTGATTAGAACGTTTAGTCCAGCGCTGTTTAAACTGCTTATGGACAGGTGTGTGCATACTGGCGTTGTGTGGGGCCATGGTGTCTCTGGATGGGTGCAGGTTCCTGTGGAGCCTACCGGCACGGTGTGGCAAGACAGTGCCCCATGGGTCAGCTGGTTACCACTGGGCTGCCCATCAGGTGTGGCAGCTTGGGAGCCACTTGGGAAGGGTGCCTTGTAGGGCGCTGGGGTTGGGCCGGCTGGTGGACGCCGGGCAGGGCAGGGTTCTGGCGGTACCATGCTGTCAGAGTCGGCCCGGCCGGCTAGGCTCACGAGCGGAAAGAAGAGTGATGCTCGCTCACAGCTTCTCTCCCACAGCAAGCTCCTATGGGTCACCGCCTCTCTGGCACAAGTCCTAAAGTGAGGAAATGTCCTTCACTTACACCCTAGGTACTGTTTATTTTGTTGTTGTTGTCTTTTAAATTCTTACTTCTTTATTTAAAAATTCAACTAACACAGAGTATTCGTAGTTTCAGAGGGAGAATCTAGTGACTCACCTGTTGTCTACGACACCCCCCACCACCTCCCTCCCCGCCCCACCCCCCCATGCTCATGACCTCAGGGGCAGCTACCCCACCCCCACGGCCCTCCCCTCCAGCCACCCTCAGTCTGTTTCCCAGCACTTTTTAATCTTCCCTTTGAAGAGGTGCTTGTGTGCTGGGTCTCAGGCCGCATGATCTAGTGCGTTGGTCTTTGAAGAGCAGAGACTCTAGGACTAAAACCCTCCTATCCTCTTTGTTACGCCCCCGGAGCCGGCCTCGCCGCTTTTCACATCCAGACGTGGCGGGGGCTCCTGTTGTCAGTGCAGGTCCCTGGGGCCGGGGGCCCAGGTTGAGGCTGGCCCTTCTCAGGGAGTGAGTGTCTCCCTGCTGGCCTATGGTATCCCTCCTGCTTCTGGTTGCCACCTTGCGATGGGTTGGTTCCCTGTGGGGGCTCCTTCCCTCCTGACCTTCTCCATGGGGCCTTTTCTTGATGCCTTTAGCCACGGAGGATCTGGTCTGCCAGACTCAGGCTGTTTCCAGAGGGAGTTGCTTCGTGTGTGGCTTTTGGCTGGGTGAGGGGAGCTCCAGACCCTCTCACTCCGTCATCGTCCATGAATTAACACTTGTCTGCCCAGACGTATGAAATCACTAGAAGAATCCT